GACCTTACCAGCAGCTTACAAACAGAAGAACAGACGACTGTGCTCATACATCACTGTGCAGCCAACTCTAGCCTCTGACCTGCCATTGGGAAGCCAGGCAATATTTTTACCTATTCATGCTCATGACCCACTTGAGTTGCACTAAATCCAGTGCAGCTCGGCTGGCTGGGTAACAAATGGACAGGCTGTAAGCTAAGGCCATAGAGGTTTGCACTTGTCAGTGTGGTGATAAGCGAGTGCTTTATCATCAGAAACTAAAGAGTGCTTAAATGACACTGGCTATAGTTTTGGTCATAATTTATTGGCCTCAAATGACCACTTGCCGTGGGATGCCCCTTGCTGCTTTCTCTTTCTTATTTCTGTTTTGCTGTAGTTGCCATTTTAAACTTTCTGGGGTTATTTTGCACAGTTATTTCCTTTGTATGACATAAAGTAAGCAAAGAAAGGAATAAAATGTGCTACAGGGTACAGGAAGATAATGACAGACATGCAGATTACTGGAAAAAGTATTGAAAGCATTTGCAAAATAAACACTTTGATTTATAAGATCTACAGTTCCCAACCACACTCATATCCCACTAGCCATCAGAAGTAATCAGAGCATTTTGTAAGAACATGTAAGCATCCTTTGCGTTAATCCTCCCCCTTTTTGATTGCAACTGTTAAGGCTACCCAGGGGATTCCTATTGACAATATTATATATCCAGCCATGAAACTTTGATTCCCAATTCACTCTGCATCCTTGTAGTAGCTGAACATTGGATGTCTATGCAAAACAAGCCTGTTGACTTGTATTGTGTGAATGATGAATGAGAAACATTGAATGAAGATTAAAACATGGCAAGCTGCTGTGGTAACAGCTATTTTCCATGTTAGGGGTGTGGTGAATCAGTTCTAGGTATTATTGCAGCTCTTTAAAAAACCAGCCAAGATGTTGAACCTAGTTAGGGATTAGTTTCAGAACCTTGGATGGTTGATGAGAAGTCTAGAATAAAACCTAGGGTGGATTTATAACTTTATTGACATGGAACCCATAAACTATCCCTTGCAAAACTTAGAGCATCTGTGAGAAGAACACACTTTTTGAAGAAATATTGCCTCCTATTAGTAGGTATGTAATATTGTTTCAATGAGAGAAAAGAAGAGTCTTCTAGAAATATTCACAAATGATACCGAAGCATTTTCCACTGCAGATGAGAGACAGAAAACAAAAATTTAAAAGTATCCAGCTCAACTATTTTTGCCTTATTAGGGCTCTATTTGTGAATTGTACAGACATTGTGATTATACATCTTTGGTGCAAACTTCAATAAGAAAGAAAAGCATGTGTTGGCAAAACAAGATTTTTTTTTTTAATTTCAGACAAAGCACCGATGTTTGAACTATTGTACATACCACAGACAGAGACGGGATTTTTGGATCAAGTTTGTAATCAGGCCTTTCATCAAAGAGAGTTTTCCATCATTGAAGGTAAAATAATCAAAGGCCAAAAGATAAAATGATGCTGTTGCTGTTCCTTTGCATAAACAATGTCAGAGTTGCGATAGTCATGCATGCTTGCTCAAATAAGAGGAATTCTGTAGATAAAGACACTTGTCTATCTCAGTAGATCAGCTTACTTACTGATATATTTCATTTTATTATTTCATTATTCAGCAATTGCTAAACAGCAGAGGTAGAGACTGCTGACCCTGACACTCTTTTCTATCAAGTTTAGTATTCCTTCTTTTGTGCTTCTTCCTGAGTTATATTTAGTTGTTTCGCTCTCATGAAAATATGAATAACGATGGAATGTGCACTGCTTTTAAAAAAACAAAAAACAAAGTCTCCTACTGCAAAACCTCTAATGCCATCCATGTGTTTCATACACCATTGGCTCTTATGCAGTTTTGCTAAAGTCATAATACTATATAGAGATTGTCTACTCATTAGTGTTGTTTTCTAGTTCACTTGTTTTCCATTTACTATTTTAAAAGCATTCAATTGAGCCAGTGGGGAATAGTTTCATGGAACCTTAAAGACTGAAAGAGTTATTTTGGGATGAATGTTCATGGATTACAACCCATCTTGCATATATGATAACCCATCCATAGGAAAGATTGTACTGTATCCACAGATATTATACACACATTATACCTGTATATGCATGTGAACATATGTTGTTAGAACTGATAAAATGGTCGACTGGTTGGTCTAGTTTCACTTTTCCAAGCCTTGGGCTTTGTCACACATCTTCCCCTTTTATTCTTAGGATTTCTCCCTGTTTCTGGCACATGGGTCTCCAAATGGTTGCTATTTTGGACATGTGGGTATGTTAATCAGTGGGCTCAGTCTGATAAAGAATGAACAGATTTTCACATCTTAAATGGAAACAGACACATTTGCAGAATATTAAAATAGTAAAGACTTGGTATATTACAAATCAAACAAATATCTGCCCTTGTTGTAGCCCAGACACCTACTTGATCCCCCTTTTCACTAAAACATCACACAGATGAGCAAGAATAGTAAGTTTATTAAGAAAAGAGTATCTTATATAAAACAGTTTCAAAATACATCCGTACGCTAGATTTCCAGAAGCTTAACAAAAAGCAATGACCAACTCTGAATAGGAATTCCAAAAATAACTTAAGGCAAAAACAAGAAAATGCAATCCAAGGGTTGTTGCACTTAAACTAGAATTGTATCCAAAAGCTTGAAAGCATGAACATGACCATAATCCAAAGGCTTGATACATGAACTTGACTATAATCCCCAAAGGCTTGAAACTTGGAACAAGATTTGTAATTCAAACAGCGGGCAAAGTTCTAAAGCATGAATATGACCATATTCCAAAGGCTTGAACCTTGAAACAAGAGTTGTAACCCAAACAGGAGGCATGGAATTTAAACAGGAAAACATGATAACAGACCAAAGAACCCCTAACTCACAGCTTCCAAGACAGGCAATTCGACTCATGAAAATCCAACGCTGATCTCCCCACTGAACATTGACTCCAATTCCTTTAAAATACTCCCTCTTGCCCATGCCTATGATATAACTCTTTCTCACACCTGCATTCCCTTTGTTTATTTTTCAGTCTCTGGGAACACAAGATTTGTCTCTGTTTTGTACCATCCCATCTGATCTGTAAACGCCAGGTTATCTGTAACCTTCTGTCTCCTCCACATTCCTTTCAGAGTCAATGTCTAGCCAATTCTCATGAGAATAACTGTCTGTTTCCCTGACAACAGATCTACCCAAAACATTCCCATTGTCTCAAAAAAACACTTTCACTTTCCCCCACAGAAACACCAGACTCAACCAGAAAATCCTTGTTTTCATCCTAAGAGGTGTCACATGCCTCAATAATACTGATTCCACCATGGTATGCATCAGCCCTTCTATTTCAAAGCAAGTAACATTTTACACATATACTCAGCTCCCCAAAATGCAATTCAGATATTCTCCATTTCCCTCCTTCTAAGTAGCCCTCACACTCTACTTCTGGCTCTCTAACATTATTTCATCTTGCTTCTCCCCTCTCTAACAGATAAGCCTTCATAGCACCCCAGAGGCTGTGATTGGTCAGTTCCAACCAGGCCTGACCAGTTTTTCGCTCTACAACATCATATCCCTAAAATCATTGAGGCATCACAACGAGGATCTTATTTGCTCTCACTATAAAGTAATCCCAATTTCGTGCGGCCGTCTACCATAGTCCAGATCAGAGAGAGTATAGAAATAATAACAGTGGAACCCACTGCCTTAGAGTGTGGTGGAGGCCACTTCTTTGGAGGTTTTTAAGTAAAGGCTGGATGGTCATCTATTAAGGGTGCTTTGATTGTGCTTTTCCTGTATGGCAGGTAGTGGATGACCCATGTGGTCTCTTCTAACTCTGTGATTCTATGATTCAATGAGAAAAGTGTAATTCATAAAGAAGCTTTGACTCCCCTGTGTTTCAGGAGATATGCCATTATGATTCTCCAGAATTATATTTCAGGTGGTGGTGGTGATGATCACCACTACTACCACCACCACCATATTCATTTATCCTGCCTTACTCCTGATAATGGAATTCAAGATGACTAAAAATATATTTAAAGCAATATAAATTAATGCATAAAAATACACGAGTCCTATACTCTCCCTGGAATTTACTGAAATCATCATGGTGCTTCTCAGTGAAGTAGAACTCCAAAATCATAATCCAAAACTGCTAGAAAAAGTAGAATGTCAGTCTTTTAAATTTGCAATATTTTTGTTGTTCTATTGTTCTTGTTATTGAAAATATCTTGCATTTGCAGAGAGAAGTTATCAGGGTATTATGCTGTTTCCAGTTTATAGACTTGGATAAAGAAATGGCATTTACTGAGATTAGCATTTAAAAGGAAAAGGGTTCAGCAAACATGGTGTGAGAGGGAAGACGTATAGGTAAACGAAGGGACAAATGCACCTTTAGGCAGATGGCCTTGATTTTCTGTTTGGTTTTTCACATGTATGTTTAGCAGGAGTGAGAAAAGCAGTATATAAATACAATAAATAAATAAATGGCTGCCGTTTTAATTGTCCTAGAAAAATCCATTATAAGGAAGAATTGTGTGGAAATGATGAGCTACATCTCACCAAACATTGCAGTGAAGTTTGTCATATATTCTCCTTATCATGTTGTTGTCGCTATTTGTCTGAGAGACACATAATTGCAAATTAACAAATATCTGGCGAGCAGGTAAAATGTGTTTTCTCAGTTCAATAATGATTGCATCTCTTGAAGTCAATTTATGTTTTGCAGGAACCACAGGTCAAAGATGCACTTCTCCTAATGCTATGGGGAAGATATGCATTATAACTAATATTATCCTTTTTAAAAAATCATTGAAACTGATCAACCCCGGGGACATCAAAAACCTTCTCATATTGAATTCCACAGTTCTACAATAGGAAGAACATTTGCTTCCTTAGATGGTAACAGTTCTAAAGCGATGATGAAGAAAAATGTCTTCATAGTTCATTATACACACCTAGCATGACTTGACTTCTCCACACAGTTCTTATTGCTGCAATACTATGGAAACAACATTCAGTACTAGACTTTGTTAGAAGTGCATGGTATGATCTGTAAAAAAAATTGTGAAATACAAATCAATTCAGAAGACCCTTTCAACCATTGAATGTAATATTTTTCCTCCAAAATGGTCAAAGGGCTTGTCATGAAATAACAGAGTGCTTTTAAAAAGAAAGCAGAAAGGGTAAAAAGCATCACAAATTTGATTTTAATGTTTTATTTTTGAGTTCTATCAGCTGTTTCCCATTTATATAATATTTGAAGTAGATGAACACATACCTGATGATCAATGGGAGGCACACATTCAAAAGAGATTAAATCACAGTTCAGAAAAGAGCAGGATTAACACTACTTATCAAAATTACAGAACAGAGCTGAAAATGAATAATAATGATGATGGACACCCAAATCAAGGAATTATGAACAAAATGAAAAAGCTTCTACAACAAAAGCGAAGCTGTTGGATCTAGACTGGATGCAAATCCCAACTGAACCATCAAAGATATTTGGGGCAAAAGGGGTCAACTATTTATTGACTCTGATGAGTGATATCATATGGCAGGAGGTAAAATGCCAGATGTGTGGCTAAACAGCACAATGACTGCTATTTATGAAAATCAAAGAGGAATAGAAAAATGTGGGAGCTGTCAAGAAATAAAACAGATGTAATATGTGATGAAGTGTTAGGGAAAATAACTGCCCAGAGGATGAAGGAGAAAGAATTGATCTCCTATATATCTAACTAGCTTCAGGCCTACAAGAAGCTCAACTGAAAGTCTTTTATATCTCTACTTCCTGTCTGCTTTTCATGGCAACACAGTGGCTTGGGTTGTCTCCACATCACATCTTCTCAAATAATTAGAGACACTGATGGAGAGCCTTCACTGTGTACAATAAATGTTGAGTGTACGCATGGCTGTAGTTGAAATCCTTTGTGTTACTTCATCCTCTAGCCTGCAACAGTTAATATTCCATTTCTGATACACTGCAAGAACTAGCCAGTCATATTGGCTGCCCTCAAATTTGAGGCTAGTGGTTGGCAGTGAGGAGAAAAAAGCAATGATATAAAACAAAGAATGGTGAATTATGAAGAATTATGAGTAGACCTGAGAGCAATCTGGGTTGTTGTAGGTTTTTTCGGGCTGTATGGCCATGGTCTAGAGGCATTCTCTCCTGACGTTTCGCCTGCATCTATGGCAAGCATCCTCAGAGGTAGTGAGGTCTGCTGGAACTAGGCAAAATGATTTATATATCTGTGGCATGACCAGGGTGAGACAGGGTCAGTTGAAACATTCACACCTAGCTCTAGCAGAGAAGAGTCCTTTGTCTCACCCTGGTCATGCCACAGATATATAAATCCTTTTGCCTAGTTCCAACAGACCTCACTACCTCTGAGGATGCTTGCCAAAGTGCAGGCGAAACGTCAGGAGAGAATGCCTCTAGATCATGGCCATACAGCCCGAAAAAAACTACAACAACCCAGTGATTCTGGCCATGAAAGCCTTCGACAATACTTAGAGCAATTGTTGCAAGTGTCTCTTGAATAGCGTCCATGTTTTTTTTTTTTTTAAAAAAAATCCCTTATTTCCAACTCATGCATCATTCTAATGTTTTCTCTAAGCAGACAATGGACGTTCTCTTATTGTGTTGTCTGTGCTTCTTTTTTTTTTCCCCTTTGCGTTCAGTTGTTTTAATGTCAAACTAGGGCTGGCACTTTTTGTTTCCTGAAAGATTCCATATCTTTAAATTCTGCATAGCCAGTGTACAGGACATTTTATGAGAAGAGTTATACTTATTAAAATTGGCTACTGTAAATAGGAGAGAGTTTAATCCACTCCTGGTGGAGAATTAAATTTGCAGTTTTCTGCATATTTGGGTTATAGAAAAGATGAAGTTTAAACATTCAACTTAGGAAGAAAGTAATGCTGATAAGTATTCCTATTTTTATCTGAAATACAATATAAACATCTCCTCGGGTTTTACACTGAGGCAAAAAAAGAAAGCTCAATTCAATTGTGTTTTTCCATCCCTCATGAAACTGGAAGAGAGCTTGAGAGTAGTTATGTGAGTGCGGGAGGAGAATGGACGATTGTACGTTGCTTTTGGGACAGGACTTGAGATATATCGGGTCCTGGGGGAAGAATTAAATACTGTTGTATATTTGATTAGAAAAATCTTCCAGATTATTCAAATACAGTGGAACCTCAACTTAGGAGCATCCCAACTTAAGAGTGTTTGAGTTAAGAGCCACTGCTCAGCCCAGCTTTTACTTTGACATATGAACAGTGTTTTGAGTTAAGCACTAGATCCAGAGGGAGTGCTAGTGCAAAAGTACATGCTTTAGGGGTTCAAAGGACAGCCTCAATGCTGTGTGTTCTTGTCCACTTTGGGAGATTACTGTCCGCTTTGCTCTTGTCCGCTTTCAGGAACTTTGGGTTAGTTGATTTTGTGTGGTTTTTATTCCTGGTATGTTTGGCTTCATGAAGAGAGAGAGGGAGAGAGAGCAAGAGAGGGCAGGAGGCTGGAATAAGTACAGTATGAAGAAAATGATATTTCTGCATCTTCAGTTTGTGCTTCCTTGCCACTTTGTGCTTGTACCATTTTAAAGTCGATCTTTCTTTTTAATTATTCCATGTGAGTGTGCATTTATATGTTATTTGTTATTTATAAAGTCCATTTTCTTATTTAAAAACATGTAACAGAAAGGGGAGGTCATGGGGCTGGAACAGATTAATAGCATTTCAATGGGAAAATTTGCTTTGCAATAAGAATGATTTGAGTTAAGAACTTGGTCACGTACCAAATTAAACTCTTAACTCAAGGTATCACTGTACATTAGGGAGAGAATTTCAGGTTCATCCATGGTAGGCAAGAATAATACTTGCCCCTTAACCCCTGAAATAACGAGACAGACAACAATGGTATGGATTCAAATTTGGGCAACTTTATTAAATGTTACCTATTTAACTTTAACTGAACTAAACTATGTGTCTAGGAACTTGGTGGCTAACCGAGGCAGCGTCCTCGGCTATTTAGTACGTAATATCTGTGTGCCCTGGATCCCCAACCGGGCAACCTGAAGGTAAAAGTCTGGAGAAGCCTGTGTCAAATTATTGATATCAGCCTCTCTTATTTCTGTGCCAAGTGATGTCCCCTCACCCATTTGATGACCTCTAGGTGAGTGTTTGTTGCACAATGACCCCCACCCTTAAGGGGTGCCTTGTGTATACCTCAATGTCTGTGTTTTCCTGAGCTATTTATGCTAGCCTAATTAAACCAGACCACCCCATCTAGCCCCTAATAACAGTATAGGGTAGGCAAAAAAAAAAAAAACCCCAGAACAGGAAGGGCAAAAAATTCCTACCCGGCTCCAACAGGCAACCGAATGTTATACTGTCAGTGGGCGGGTGTGGTGGGTAGCAAGTCTTCTCAAGACTGAGGGAGGAGGCTGGCTTCAGAGTTCAGCCAGCCTCCACCCTCCTTCCAGGAGGTTCCACAGGAACCTCCCATCTCTAACATTCAGTGGGAGGGGCAAATTGCTCTCCCCACCAACTTCGTTGGTGTGGAGAGTCCCTTGCCCCTTAACCCCTGAAATAACGAGACAGACAACAATGGTATGGATTCAAATTTGGGCAACTTTATTAAATGTTACCTATTTAACTTTAACTAAACTATGTGTCTAGGAACTTGGTGGCTAACCGAGGCAGCGTCCTCGGCTATTTAGTATGTAATATCTGTGTGCCCTGGATCCCCAACCGGGCAACCTGAGGGTAAAAGTCTGGAGAAGCCTGTGTCAAATTATTGATATCAGCCTCTCTTATTTCTGTGCCAAGTGATGTCCCCTCACCCATTTGATGACCTCTAGGTGAGTGTTTGTTGCACAATGACCCCCACCCTTAAGGGGTGCCTTGTGTATACCTCAATGTCTGTGTTTTCCTGAGCTATTTATGCCACAGATTGGGGGCAAATGTCTATTTCGCCCCCATCCCCCACCAAGCCCCTTAAGACCTCCTTAATCCCTAACTGCAACTCAGCCAAAAATTGATCGTTACCCAAATCAGATAAGTATACCCCAACGTAGTGGTAAAATTGCGTTTTGTCATGCGTTATGTCCTTGTGATGTATGTGAGAACCTCTACCCGCCCGCGCCGTGCGCATGGCCCGGTTCACACGCCTTCTGACCGTATCGAGTTTCCTGACGTCACCGCCTCCTGGCCCCCTGAGCCGTGGAATGATAGCCGACCAAGCGATGTGAACCCGAGGCCATGCTTGACACATATATATAGTCCTACTCAGCGCGGATGCCATATGGCTCCCCAGCCTGGCCTTGGCGTGCTCTTTTATTGCCCGTATGGCAGATATATACCTATATATTTAAGTCTATACATCTCCCTCTTTGAATGCTCATGGTTCCATGCCTTGGCCCTGCTAGGCTCTCAACAACATGGCCGCCGGCACAAGGCTGGGGCCGATAAGGCCCAGCAGCTCCAAAATGGCGGCGACTGTCAAAATGGCGGCCGCGGCGGCGGCGCAAATACGCCACGCCGCCATAGAGCAGCTCCGCGCTGCTGCTGCTGCCCTGAGAATCAAGGGACGAAAGGAGGGGGGAGAAATGCCCCTCCTGCAATTCAAAGAAGGCTGCAGCTCGCTTAAAATTTCGGCCACCACTCGGCGCCACCGCGGGCGCATTTTTTATCATTATTTATTTATTTAAATTTTTATTTTTAAGCTGCCGCACAGCCGAGCAGCCAACAGAGCCTCAACATCGAGTAAGGGAGGGAGTGGCACCCCCTCCCCAAAGCACTCCGAAAAAGAGGGCCGTAGCCCATCCAAAATGGCGCCTGCGGCTCAGGTCCGCTGCGCGCGCGCGGCGGAGGGCAGCACGGCGCAGCAACCAAGCGCCGAAAGCGCTGCCCAAGCCGGCGGTAAGGCTCCGGTGGGGGAGGTGAGTGAGCACCTGACCTCCCCAGCCCGCCCAAAGACCGACCTGAGGAGGTAAGCAAGCCACGTCCTGTCTCTGAGCAAGTCTTCTCAAGACTGAGGGAGGAGGC